TCACTGCCCTAGAGAGAGTTGGGAAAAGCCCAGCTATAAGTGCAGACCCTGAATTTCTGGTTCTGCCACTTTAGAGAACTGCTGGGCAGTGTTTGTAAAGGGCTGAAGTGGGGAAGGTTGGGGAAGGGCTTTGCAATGAGGCTGTTTTCCTGAGCATTTTCCTGGGGAAGGCTGAGTAGATGTCAATACTAACAATTCTCTCTCTACTGCATTTGCTGTCTCTGTTCTTTAGCAAAGAGCCTTTTCCAAGCCCATAACCAGGACCAAAGCCCCCACTTTCCCCGTGATTTTGTTCTCTGTTCCCATGTGCTTCCCAGTTTCCCTCTGCCCCTTCCTTGGCCATATTCTACTCTAACACACCCCTGCCCAGTGCCTCCTCCGAAGGCTGTTTTTCGCCTGGGGGTTGGGGGCTTTGGAGACCATGCAGGGCTCTGCATTTGCCTTTAGGTCTGATCGCTCATCTCTCCAAGTAGCTCTTTTTGTTTAATAATGACAGCTAATAGTTGCATAACATTTGTCATAAGCCAGTAAGCACTGTGCTTTATGCATAGTAAGTCATTTAATCCTCAGGGCACCCCAGTGGAGAGGTGCTTGTTATAATACTCATTTAACAAACAAGAAATCCAAGGCAGAGGGGTTAATTAGCTTGTGAAAGATCTTTCCAGGATTTCTAGTCAGTTAGGCTGCAGGGTTTTTACATTAATTTTTGCACGATGGAGAGAATAGAGAAAATTTTGCATCAGAATGTATCAAGGTTATAGGAATACACTGGACTTTTGAGCGTCATCTTGAAAGGAGATGATTGTGCAGTGGCACACTGTCTTACAGAAGACTCTCCAAGCTCCGAGCAGGACTTGGACAGGTTGGGGGGCAAGTCCCCACCCCCTCCTCCCCCGCCCCCGAGACGGAGCTACCTGCCAGGATCCGGGCTCACCACCACCAGGACTGGCGACGTGGTCTACACCAGCAGGAAGGAGAACACCACTAAGGTCAGATGGGTCAAGGCCTGGCAAACTGGTCTCTGGGTTCATACGATTCCCTTAGACAAGGTCATGTCTGCTCTCATTTAGAACAAAGAAAGTCCTGAGGCAGAGAAGAGAAGCAGAGAATCAAATAAAACTAGATGGGCAGGAAGTACCACAGATGGAAAAACGTCAGTCAGTGTTACTGGACTGGATGCAGCAACACTAGTTTTATCCTTACTTGACTTTTAGCTGCAATGATGTGAAATGCAAATCATAAGCTACTTCCCCAGCAGGTCATCTTGAGATTGAAAATAAGGGTAGCAGAGGGAAGCAAAAGAAAGACCACCTTACAAAGATAACTGGGATGGGCTAACATGGTTGAGGGCGTCCATACACAGAGATGCTTAATGAGCTTTAGCTTGCACGGCACATGGCATGTTTTATCTTTTATGTTCAACGTAAAATTCAAGTTTCAAGGGAAGATAGTATGGGAGGACCTTTCTTACAGGCACTGAATGGTGAGGAGTTACAATTTTATTATAATTCTTCAATCCATTCACCAAAATGGTGGCTTACATGAACAAAAACCTAAACGAAATGCAAGTGGACAAAATAGCCCTTCAACTCAATTTGAAGAGCTAGGAAGTCAGTTTAGTAGGCAGTGAGGGAAGATGAGGTCCTCTGTGGTCGCTCCCTCTTTTTGCCAGACCTGGGGGTGTTCAGCCAACATCTGTGCCTTGAATCTTCCATAGGCAAGCAGTGAAGATGCCGGACCAAGCCTGCAGGCTAGAGCCACAAAGTGCCCAGCAGAGGAGCCTGCTTCAGCGTGGACTCCATCCCCACCTCCAGTCACTACCTGCTCCTCAAAGGACGAGGAGGAGGAAGAAGAAGGAGACAAAATCATGGCAGAACTCCAGGTATGTGGATGTAGTGACTGACCGTGGCTCCTTGCTCTTCCCATCAGGGACTCCGCCTACATCTCTCACAGACTCCTTGGCTAGAGAAGGCTGGCCTTGGCCTTCAGTGGGCTCTCAGCACACCTTTAGGATGTGTATAAGGAATGACCATTCCATGGAACAACTCAGGAAGTTTACACAAAAAATCAATTGCAAGCTTTCCTAGCTCTGGCTGGTAGAATTTACTTTTCTTCCTTTCAGTGTTGATAGTCTCTGTTTCCCTTAAAAAAATAATTTAAAAGGAAATCAGAAACACTGGCCATGGTTTCTCTTGATAAGAACTGCTGAACCCCTACTTCAGGCGGGGTCCTGTAACTTGGCCTTGATATTTAGAATGACTGAACTTGAGTCATGTGGCCTCCTTCACTCCAGACAAGGTTCCCATTCAATGTCAGTTTCATCTTTTCAAATAGTCTCAAAAGCCAAATAGTCTTATTTATCATTTTCCTTGCCTATTTAAGAAATTGTTATTTATTTTTAGATTTTTATTTGTAACTAATTACCACAGTCTGCTCTTAGGATTAAAGATGGGGTGCATGGGCTATACCCAAAACTGATCCCACATTCAAATTGTGGAAGTGAATCTGCCCTGCATATACGTTCTAAGAACTTGACTAACTGAAGACATATGCATAATGCTTAGACCAAAGTCTGTTCATAGAGTATTTCATTTTGACCCATGCTTATTATAGGATTATTTTGTCCTTCAGATGGTAAGATCACAACTTTCTTGGGGCTCCAAAACTGTTACTTTTCACCAGTGTACCCAGGGTTGTGTGCAGGCCCGAGGATCTGCATCCTGCATTTGGAATAGGGAGAGCTTTCAAACCATGTCGTTTCCACTGCTGCTGTCCTACTCTGCTTTCCGTGGTAATGCCCGCTAAAGAGGAGCTGCTTGGATTTTGTAGGGAACACAGGGCTGCTGGTTGATGGTCACATGCATGAGCCTTTTGAGCCTCACTAAAACTCACAGACTGGACCGGGACATCCCCTCCACCAATCAGATTACTCACAGGTTTTTAGAATGGCTGGAGAATTTCATTCATAGGAATCACAGATTTATAAAGTTAGCAACTCATGAAACAGCTGGGAGCAGGGAGGCATCCATCACCCAGTTATCCAATGAGGACCCTCAGGCTGTTGACCCTGGCATGTCAAGTCTACTTGTCGCTGGGATTGGTGCATGTCCTAAGATGTGTAGGCAGATCCTGGGGCCATTCATTGTAGCATCTGGCCCCAAATTAGGGTGTGAATGGGTCATGGCCTGGTTTGATTCAAATGGTGACAGCACTAGATCATTGTAAATCTGTACACGGTGAACAATTACTAACAAGCCAAGAAGTGGAGAGTGTTAGCCTTGTGAATAATCCTGCACTAGCCTCCTAAGAAAATTAATATATTTGTTCTAGCCACTTAGAGCCCATCACTTGAGAATATTTCCCTCCATTGAAGTCTGAGTATCTTCGATGCTTTCTTTACCTGGAAGCTTTACAAAAGCGGTGTATCTGGCTTCTTGTTGTATTATTGGTGGTTAGGTGCTAGTGGTGAGTATGTGCTCTAACCCTAACTTAACCAAACCCAGCCATCCTGCTGGGGTAGGGACCCAACCCGCTGCTCAGAAAGTTGGCCAGTGGCTCCGGTTAGACAGCCCTCATCCCCACACAGGACAAGGAGCGTAACTGTGGAGCAACTTTCATGCTCCTGTCAACAGGCACCGTCAGAAACCACAGGCTCCGAAGTCCAGGGTCTCACAGCCCAACAGCGATGGCAAGTGGCCTTCGTGAGCGGAGCCCTGGGCAACTCCGGGCCAACAAGGAGGGTGCCGGGGCGGCGGGAGCAGGGAGTCCGCAGAGAGTGGAAAGCCGGCTGGGGAGAGTCCTGGGCATCAGCTCCGTTCTTACTTGGACCAGCGATGAGACGTTCACTCGGGGAGGGCATGGGTTATTCTTTCTGCCTGCCGTTATTTCCAGATGACAGTTCTCGACATTAAGGAAACATGAATGAATTATTTGAGATGATTCATTTAAATAAGTAGTTTTTAATCCTGCTCTCACCATGACCCTGCCGCTCCCCTCTGCCCTGCAGACATAGCCTGTGCTTCCTCTCCTGGCTCCGTGCTCACATGAGCTGGTGTGGCTACTAAAACCAGGACAGTTTTCAGAAACAAGTCTAGGCCTCAGGCAGTTCCGAGGCCACTCAGAATGCCATGTTGCTGAACAGCACCACTTTCTCAGTGAGCCTCAGAACATCTCGGAGCACGGGGTCCCTGTTACTATTTCAAACAATGAATTGGCAAGCATTACTTTTATTTAAAGGTTTAAGGATTTTTAATATCTTGTGCCCTTTTTCTATAGCTTCAATAAATTGAGTCTAGTAAAAAAAAATAATCAAGAAAAAAGAAAGAAAAGATGGCTTCTTGGTTGTTGTTGTTTTTCATTAATTCATTTACATAGTCAATATTTTTGAAAGGTCAAAACAAGAAGCCCTACTAAGCGCAAACCAAATTCACCCTGGACAGGAAGAAAGGGTGTTCTCTGCAAGGGCTGTGTCCTTTTATCTTGCTGTGGCCCAGAAATCAGGAGGCCTTGGCACCAGGCTCTGCCCTCTCACCAGCTCTGTGGGCCTGAGGCCAGAAGGGGAGCAGGTTTTCAAGGTGCTGCCTTCCGGCCCTGGTGTGACCTGCGTGCAGGACAGGGCTGTGGTCTCCACACTCTAGATTGATTCCCTGCCTGCCTGTCTCCTCCTTCCTCCTCGCTACACAGAATCCTGTTAACCTCAGTATTTTAATTCCATAGGCATTCCAGAAGTGTTCCTTTATGGATGTAAATTCAAACAGTCATGCTGAGCAGTCCCGGGCTGACAGTCACGCTAAAGACACTAGGCCGGGGGCCACAGTCTCACCCAAGGAGAAGAAGGTAACGTGGCAATTACACTCTGCCACGCGGTCGGACAGCCCTTCTTTCCTTGCTCTGACACTAACCGCTCCTGCGCTTGTCCTTCTGTGCCCTCTCCTTTCCTCTCGCCTTTAAAAAGACAATGAACTGAGACACCGCTTTGCATTTAATTCAGAGATAACTGGCTGAGGTTTTCTGAGCAGATGCATTGTTTCCGTGCACAGCGTTCAATAGTATGTGCAGAATTGAGGCATTATCTTCACAAACTAAAGAATATACATCTTTCAAGATTGTCTAGAACGACTCTTACAGATATAAAAAAAGAAACACCAACCAAGGTTGTAGCACTTTTTCTCATTTTTCACATATCTCCTGGACCAAAGCATCGATATTAAAAATCGGCGAAAGCCATAGATTCCAGGAAGGAAGCTCAGGGCAGAGCTGCACACCTGAGGCGTCCACAGGTGGATGCTCATGGAAACACACACATGTATCTGCACACATGTGTAAAGATGCCCAGCAGAATTCTCTTATATTACAAATTCTCAAAGTAGACCTTGCAGGATAAGAAGTTCAGTATAGTTTTAGTGCTAATACACTTTGTGGCATTCAAATGGCTTCGAAACAGATGTCCAGGCTCTGGAACAAAGTTCATTGTCATGACCTCAGTACTTTAGGGAGAGGATGTGAGCCTGAGTGTTTGAACCTCAACATTAAGTTAGACCTGGAACTTTTATGAATTTTTGGCAAGAGAGCCATCTTATTTGAATGAAGCCGCTGTCTAAATGTCAGGCTAGAACAGTGGTTCTCAACCTTCCTAATGCCGCGACCCTTAAATACAGTTCCTCATGTTGTGGTGACACCCAACCATAAAATTATTTTCGTTGCTACTTCATAACTGTAATTTTGCTACTGTTATGAATTGTAATGTAAATATCTGATATGCAGGATGTATTTTCCTTGTTACAAATTGAACATAATTAAAGCATAGTGATTAATCATAAAAACAATATGTAATTACATATGTGTTTTCCGATGGTCTTAGGCGACCCCTGTGAAAGGGTCGTTCGACCCCCAAAGGGGTAGCGACCCACAGGTTGAGAACCGCTAGTATAGAAAGTTTATTATGATCAACTCAAGTCCTAACATGTCTCACCAGAACGTATATTTCAGAATTCAGAGGTTCTAGTTGCCCTTAAATGAAGTCAAACATCTCGGCTAGCACATTGTGAGTCCAAGTGGGCACCGCAGTCCATGTGCACATAAGCTCAGTGAGGAGCTAAAGGGTCATGAAATCAGAAGTTATTTTAATACAACCCTTCAAGAGACGCAGCCTGGTGCCTGCAGCCCCCTGCCTGCTCCTCCCTGGCTCACAGCCAGCAGAGAGCCCTGTGTGCAATGAGTCTGCCACAGGAAGCCAGTAACCAGGCGACATGCGATCTCCCGGTACATCACGGGAGGTTATGAGATTATTGTTGATAAATCTTTCTCATGAAGAAAACCTCCTACTAATTTGGATTGAATCCATGGCAGTCATATTGGAAATATATTGTTTTTCCAGTCTCTGGAATCCCCTTATGTGGCCTTATTAAGACCAGGCCATGGAAGACCCTAGCGCATTTGAGTTATAGGGCATATTTGGGCCAATGGGACTATTTTTGTCTAAAACACTGGAAACTGGGAACTTCTTGAAGATCCCTCTGGAGAAGATTATTGTCTCATTGTAGAATTTTGCTAATTGCCTTGAAATTTGCATGAGATGTTTTGTCCAGCAATTACAAACCCATATCCCAATCATCTCTTTTATCTCAATCAGGGGTCCATCGGCTAATAATAAGCAGGTCTGTATTGAGTGCCCAACACTGGGTTTAATCACAGGTGCTTATTCTAGATAATTATACTGAGTAGGTTGATCTGCTCCATAATATCAGTATCAGACTTGTATTTGAGTAGTATATACAATGTGGGTTTCAGACTTGTCCCCAAATTGTTGTCATTAACCTCTTTCTGGGCTACTCATCTCCTTTTCTATACCTCTTAAAATATTTCTCCTGTCATCAGAAAGCATTAGCCTAGTTCTTGACTTTTATGCAGTAGTCCTATAACTCTATCTCTAATTCTGGTTTATTGCCCGTATGTGTATTGAGCCTGCTTCACCAGTTGTCTGAACAATCCAAATCTCAGAGCCCGTAAGTAGATATTAATGAGGCTTAATTATTCAATCTTGACTATCTAAGAAATCATTGTGAGATTACCTATGACAGTTGTGACCATGCTACTCTGAATAAAGTTAATGCACTTGCTATAATACACCCATTCTTTTTTCTAGCCCGGTGACAAAAATGGTAGGCCATGTGAAACCTAAGCTTGGCAACTTTATCTTAGTGACCTTCCATTGGAGTATTCCTGCTACTTGATCTGTCTTACAATGCATGTCTCACATGGTGGCATTCCAAATATTTCATGATGGGTATGACTGGGGTCCTGACCAATCAGAACAGAGAGCAGGTCTACCCCCAGCACCTGGGCCAGCAGAACATCAGCTGTGCAGGTGTCTTCTTTAGATCACATGGCTGTTCCTTCCCTGATTCAAGGATAAATTCTTCCGCAGGTCCTAACGTGCTAGCTCCATAGATGGAACTGAAACCTTGGGCCCAAGCCTCATTTCTTTTTCTTAAAACCTTTTGCTTGTTGTATTCATTGTTTAATCATCTAAATGTAAAATCCCACAAAAGATATTATGTCATTCGACTACAGCAGCTGAGTCATTCATTGCACTTGTTCGGGGGTCTCCCGGGGGTGAGGGGAAGTTAAACTGGTGGTGTTGGCTGTCTAGTGTACCTCGTACCTTGTGCGATCTTTCCATGTGACTTATAGGGAGCCTGTGGTTTGTGTATTATCCCTTAACCTGTATGAACATTCTTTCCATTTTTAACCAGGGTGGTAGGACTGCTCTGGGTTGACTTTGGCGGGGGGCCTGGGTTACTGTGCTTTGTTACGCTGTTGTTGCTGTAACCAAACAACCTCGTTGGGATTATGTCCCATCCTACTAAACTCACCTCTTCCTCTTGGGCTTCTGCAACGAGAAGAAAGGACAGCAGTGCCCTGGAAATGACAGGGCATGGTTAGTGTGAGCGTTGTGACAGGGCCCAGGCTACTGGTACAGCCATGCGGGGAAGGGCGCGCTTCCCCGGGGAGCCCTCTGCATCCCGGGTCCTCCGTGCTGGGCTCTTCTGTTCAGAACCTCGGTGAGAGCCTCGGGATGTCTCTTTGCTCTGCATCAGACTGTATAGAGAATAAAATCTTAATCATGATGTGCCAGTCACAATCCTAGCCTCAGATATCTGTTTTGTAAATGTTTAGATAGTATTTTAGCAGCATTATCACACTGAATTTGGATTTGATCATCTTGGTGTGATTACTTTGAAGGCTATTTTGACACTTTCCTTGGCAAGTGCAAGTACAAACTGCGAGTGTATTTCAATCTGTCATTTGAAAAAGGATGTTGTTTTTTTAAATCTCAA